ACTGTCTTGTGGTATCCTAGTGAGGAGCAACTGTGCACTGATGATGTTACCTAGTTTGGTAATGAAACGTCTGCAAGAAAATATCCAAGGTTAAAGAACACCAAGTACTTTAAAAAAAAAAAAAAAAACCTGAGCTATAAATATTTTCCTTTATGAATGAAGAGCAATTGTCTGGAGCACTTGCACATGATCTTAAGACCTCTTGTCTGGAGAAGAATTATGAAGACCTGATCTATTTACTGGGTCTGCATTCCACAGTAAGTTGTTGGATCTGCTTTTAGTGAAGCTGTTTCCAGTTTGTCATTCTTTCCTGAAAAGTCCTTTCTGTGTCAGTTTCAATTAGCCAGGAGTTTGAAGGAACAGAACCACAATATAAAAGACACTTTCTTTCATACGCCTGGTAATAAGGACCCTTCCACCAAAATCAAAATTGGCCTGGTGCTGCAGTTAATTATTAACAGCCTGCTATAAATAGTGAAATTCCAATTTCTAATTCCTCAGATACAGTTTCATTATTAGGGAGCGCCATCTGGTGCTCTTGTTATGCTGTTCCACCAAGAAAGACAAAAAATGATTATCAGCCATAAATGAGGCAAAAAGTCAATTAAGTAAAGAATTTCATTTTCTGAAACAAAGAGATACACATCTATTTGTGCACTATAAATGTGGCTTTTTCATAAATACTTTCCACCTACATAGTTTTCTCCATTTGCACTATGAAACTCTATATATAATAGTTTGCATAGTTAATAGTTATCCAGCATGAGTCACTTATTGGCTTGATTTACAGATCTCATCATTATTTTGTACTTTTTTCTCATAATGTACAACTGGTTAAGTGAACTCATACATCTGTGTATATGCTATTTTCCACATCTGACGTATCCAATGTGACTCTCTCTGTGATGGACTTCAGTATCATATTCATATTCAGTGTCATATTCATGCTCAATATGTCCAACACTCTAGATCAGTGATGGCTAGTCTATTTGCCATTGCGTGCCAAAAGCGGGGGGGGGGGGGAGCATGTACGTGTGCCTTCCCACGTGCATGCACGCGCGCTTCCTGCCCTCCCCCTGCTTTTGGCATGTGATGGCATGGCGGACCCGTTTTTTGCCCTCCCCAGGCTCCAGAGGCTTTCCAGGAGCCTGGGGAGGGTGAAAACGGCCTCCCTCGCCGCCCTGCAGGCCCTCCGGTGACTGGAAATGGACCATTTTCCGACTTATGGGTTGCCCTTGGGGCCGTTTTTTGCCCTCTGAAGCCTCTGCAGGGTGAAAAATGGCCAAAAATGAAGGCTGAAATCAGCTGGCCAGTGCGCACATGTGCGCTGGAGCTGACAGGGCAATGCCTCGTGTGCCCTAAAAAATGGCTCCGCGTGCCACCTGTGGCATGCATGCCATAGGTTTGTTATCACGGCACTAGATGATACCTGTCTGGGAAAGATTGGTTCATATAATCCACTCATTTTATTTGTGATAAGCAAAACAAAGCATACCAGCTTTTCAGACATGCACACCCAATGGGTTTTATTCATGCCATGATAAAAGCAGGTTAGAATCCTTATGGAGTGTTTCTCTCCAGCATCAAATTAAAAGAAATATCAGGAGAATTTGTATATAATGTTTAGGTCCATGTACATATTCAAATCAAATCAATCTTTATAATATTCATAGACTAGCTTATCTCTATATAAGAAACAGATGTGGAGGAGGGATCTTTTCCAGCTTACCAAAACAGGCACAGGAAGTGGAATAGGATTTGGGGAAAGGTATCTCCGGGATTTCCTAATTGCAAACTTTTCCGTAGGCAAGGATTTCCCTGCTATTTTCAGTTTTAAACTAGGCACAGCCCTGGGAAGAAAAACAAGAGATAGACATTTAAATGGTTTCCTGTATGATAACTGTAATCTTTCAAAAACTAGGAAAAAAAACTAGAGAAGTCAAAACAGAACAGAAAAAAATGATATTGCTCCTGTATTATATAACAAAAGCATTTGATGCTACAGACAACTACATTCTGTCCAGAGATTGGAAGAATCTGAAGAGGTACAATGAATGACCTTCCAGGGAGATTTTTGGCTAACAATGGGCAGAATGACCCAGATAGAAATTGTTCCTGCCTTAGGAAAATGCCATTCTCTTAGCTCAAAAATTACCACCAGCAGGGCAAGTATATGATGATCAGCAGAAGAACGTATATCCTTTCCTGAATAATTATGACACAATTTAACTCATAACCATGAACAGAATATTCCATTAGATCCTCCTTAACTTTAAAGATGATGTAAATATAAAATTCACACATGCACATACAATGACAGCTTTAGTGTTAAAATGTGATTGAATGAAAGAAGATTTACTTCTCTCAATATCAATCACTATTTTCCATTCTGACATCTATTTTATTTTCAAAAATCTTACCTAAATAGCTCAACTTCATCATCTCCAAAAGGTTTAAAATCTTTTGCCCCAAACATGTTGAGGTAGCCAGCTTTCATAAACACATAAGTAGCCTAAAAGAAAAACAATACTTTTGAGATATATTCATGTTATCATCTCAAATACAACATGCAGATCAATAATGTTGAAGCCAGAAAGAAGCAGAAAATGTATTATTTTGTAGTAATGGGAAAATAACTATTCCTGTCAGCAAGAAAATATAAATATATACAGAGCTGATTTGTGAGCAATTGAATTATACCGCAGAATTTCTGAGTTCTGTAAAAAAAAAAATAGTATCTTTCTTAGCAATATAATATCTAATGCAACATTATAATGGGCTGTTTTCATAAGGATCCAGTCATAATTATTTGCCAAGCACGTGATACACAGAATAAATAGATATACAATTTATTAAAAAAGAATGTGCATCAGTTCTGGTCCCCCCGCCCATTTCTTCTTCTACTTAGCTAAGGTGACCAGACGTCCTTATTTTGGCGGGACAGTCACGATTTATAACAATTTGTCCCGTGTCCCGGGGCGTTTTAAAAAAG